TAAAGTAATGGATTAATAGATGAGTGCAATGGCATCAAATATTTGATAACAACAGTCAACTTCTTCAGGTTTTGTAGTTGCTGTTTGCTGATCTTCTCGTGAAGACTRAAATTTAAGATCTGCAGAACACCGTAAGGTACAAACGCAATAAAGAATATAACGGTCACCGTAACCAGCAGCTTGACTAGTTTTCTTTTGGCCACTAAATCTTCTGGAAGGGTTCCAGGGTTATTGGAATTCCAAATCGTATTACTAAAATATAATCCTGATATTATTTGCGAATAAGAGAAAGCAATGACGAGAAAGGGAATGATTGTCATGCTGAATACAATACAACCAACAGAAATAAGAAGGTCGTTTAAGTTCTGACCAGGCGTACACATCTGAGGAGACTGAGGGTCATACTTAATRTAGATTAACATTGGCAACGCCATCGCCATGGATACCACCCATATAACGATGATGACRTACAGTACATTATCAGTGGTTAGTCTGCGAGAGACTCTCATTGGCTTGACAAGCGCATTATATCTTTCCACGGAAAGCACAGTGAGGGTAAGGCCGGTAGCTAGAAGAGCCACGTTTGATAGTGTATTAGGAGCGATAACCTTACACATGAAGTTTGAAGCAACCACCACACTTCTCAAAGCCACGTGAATGGCAGTCAGAAGAAGAGTAACAATATCTGCAACCGCAACGTTCAACAGAAGAAAATTGGTTGTTGTTCTCATGGCGGGAATCATGCTAACAACCATGACAACGAAAGAGTTTCCAATGATTCCTAAACCAATGATGATAGATAAGATGACCAGTGATGCTGTGCCGTTATTTATACTGTGAACCTGAGAAGTGGAAGTGGAGTTCCATGTGTTATTTACAATACTATCGTTAACAAGCATTGTTAAAGAAATCCTTCTTCTTAAAAGACGTTAGTTGAARGAAGAGAAGAAAGGATCTTTTTGGCCAACTAGCCGTTCTTTGACCACTTTGTTCTCTATGACACTCTCCAGTAACGATTATTATTCACCAAACAGTTCCCTTTGGTTAAATAAGATGATACTAAAAGAGATGGAGCAGAAGAAGATGCTTTGATCAACCTGCTGTCGATCTGAATAGACTGTGCTAAATGAATGGCGGACGCTCTATGATCGTTGATTGCACCCTGTTGCAAGACAAACTGAAATTGGACTCGAGTCTTGCCCTTGAAGATCACAGGATCTGAAAAAGATTAGAAGTAACACTTTTTTTACGATTTGGTTCACCATTTCTAAGTAGATTGGTCAAATGTAGGATCACAAAGAATATATGTCCTGAGAATGATGATGCTATGAAAATAGAATAAACTAAATGTGAGAAAGAAGTATATATAGGGAATATATAGGGAGGCGTATGTTTATGACGTACATAAAGGTTATGACAGACCTATTCAGGTAAAGTTTACGATGCATGAATAAAATAAGGTAGAACTGTCAAGTAAAATAAACAAATTATCAAAGTACCCGAGAAAAAGGTATAATTAGTGTGAGATGGCTGTGATAGTACAATTATTCTTAACCGAAAAGTGAGCCGCAATTCGTTAAGTAAGCCCGGGGCGATCAAATCCAAAACAAATATAAAGAAGATAAATAATGACGTAAGTTGACTCCTTGATTCTTCCTGAACTTGAACAAACAAAAACCTTTGATTAACTTTGCAATATCTATAGACCATTATTGAAAGCGACAGCTTTGGTTGAAGCAAATGTCTCTCTGACAAAATGACACGTTTTCCTTTCATACTGCATTTACTTTAAAGATAACGCCACGATATGACGTTATGCACGATGAACAGAAGGGTCGAATTTCGGATAATTTTGCCATGAATAAACTATATTATAATATTAATTTGCGGAGTAGAACATGTCAATAATATCATTAAGCCGAGCAAAAAATTTTGCAAGTCATTAAGGAGGTATTTTTTCCCGATCTCAAGAAAGTGAAGACATGAATATTACATTGAAAGAAAATTTAACATTATAAAAATTTTGGCATATTTGCTCATCTAAAAATACAAATAGAATCTTTCTTGGGAATTTGAAATTTATTAAACGCGCCTTGAATATTTCTTTTTACGCCGCATTTTTCTAGTTGTCTCTTAGTTATGTTTGTAGGCTAGGATTTAAGGAGTGCTTTAAGGGTGTTGCTAAGTAGTTCTTTTATCGCTAAGCCTTTTCAAGTATCATTAACATCTATTTTGAATCATAGTTTTCTTCTTTCTCCGCTTGTCATTTTCTTCCTTTTCTTTTGAAGGTCACGTGACATTGCGCTTTAAAACGAGCAGCTGTGTCGAAATGAACTCGATATTAGTACGAAGGCGAAGTTTCACCTTAAAATTGTGAATATAAGAGAAATGTCATTAGACAAAAAAAAATCGAATATTTTATAAGTATTTGTATGAAAAGTGTTTTGGCTGCTAAGCTCTTGACAGTCACCGCATTTCCCCATACAAATACTTATACAACAATTAATTTTAATTTGTTTTTAATGCCATTTTTTCCTGTTTTGCTTGTTATAAGCTGAAACTTCGCCCCTTACTAATGGCGAGGTGTTCTTTTCATTTCTGCTGCTCTTTTATACACAGCTGCTCTTTTTAAGTGAAGTAGGGTCACGTGACCTGTGCAAGCCGTCATGTCTACCATCCATTATTTTTTCCCAACTCCGTTTGTAGTCTTCGCGTTACAAAACAAAACAAACATTGAGTTAGGGTTAGGCACCTTTGAAGGCCCCTTTTATTCCTAAGACTGACCAACTTTTTTGGGGGGAAAGCACGGGTGGCGTAGCGGTGAGAGCACTTGTCTCTCAACAAATGCGACTAGGCCTCAAGACCCGCGGATTTGGTGCCTCTTATGTTAGTAGAGTTGCTCGTTGGTGCTTTTCTTTTCTTCAAGGGTTTTGTCCGGGTTTTTCTTCCTCCCTCCATACAAATCAACTGTTCTAAACTGTTTAAACACTGTCTATTTTAACAAATAACTGTTACCGTCGTCAAACAAGGACTGTTTTCGACTTAGTAAGGTGTTGTTGTGCTTGGACTTTAAAAAAAAAAAAAAAATTATTCAGCCTGGAGTTCGGAATTTTTTTCTAAGAAAAATAAGCTTATAGAAACGTAACTCCGACATCTTTATTAAGGACTGTTTTATTTTGTGTGTGTGAGTTTATTCTCCTCTCAGCCAAGTTACCCTCTCAAAGGTAAGTCGAACAATTTTGGTGATCTTTAAAAAATCAAATTACACTGAATCCTCACTTTAAAATCTTTCACTAACCTTTCAGTATATTGTTGACTTTCAGTTATGCTTTTTGTCACTCGATATTCTTATACATGATGTACGTATATTTGGAAGTAGACAGATACTAGAATATCTGAAAGCTATATATATATATATATATCTCCCTTGCAGCTCTCCTTACTGTCACTTAGTATGCGGTGTACATTTTACCCCACTCAAAGTACAATCACTTAAACATCCTCGTGACGTAAACGATAACAGTCGTTATTCTAATTGACGTTTTAAACGGTACAGCGAATTAAAGTGTACTTTTCTTTTCTAGTTTTTCAATATTCCATTGTCCTGTCGGATCTCTTATTGTTCCCATCTTTTCACCGGATACATATGAGACAGACAAAGAGCAAAACTCTTCAGTGACTTAAACATAACACATGTTACATCGACTCCACAAATATACCTTTTACATTTGAGAGTGTTTTAAAATGTACTACATATAGCAGCATATAGATATATTGGCATAAAGGAGACCGACCGTGCGTGCCAATGTATATATACGTATATATAGCATTCAGAAACTCAAAGGAGACCGACAACATTTTCTTAATAGGTTCAAGATACTTGGGCACTACCTTTCCTTTGAGACAAATTACTCAGGAAGATTAAAAAGATATTGCTGTAGTTTTCAGCAATAGWTWTTCTTGTTYTAAGATATCAAGCAGTTTTGTATCGTTATACTGACATGCGGTAATGGACCATGAAGCTATAGACATCGAGAGAGTGAGGATGGAATAATAATGAGGCCTTGACCATTAAACACGTAGTAACATGAAATGATTTTAAGTGAGATTACAATAACTGCTTGAAAATGAATGGATAAATTGATTTACACTACACTTGAACAA